TATAGAACTTTACTTTAGATCAAGTTAGACCTATTTTACTAATCAAACCTATAAAAAAATATCTTACTAAAATCTTTACAATCTGTCTTGATCAAATCATCACTCAGTACTATCTACTAAGTAACCTAAACTTCATAGCAACTAAGAACAACTTAATTCATATTTCTATACAAATATTACTAAATACAATTGAACATTACAAAACTAACAACAAAGAGGAATAGATACTCTTTCAAGATATATCCAAGGTCTTTGACAAAATTAATATTCAACATCTACTAGATGCTTGCAAATGTATTAGTATTCCTTAAGCTAGTTTAAACTTTATTAAGTTCTTTTATTAAGACAGAAAAGCTAGAGCAATTACTGCTTATAGCCTTACCAACTCAATCATCCTACACTTAGTCATAAAACAAGGAAAAATCTACTCTTTTTTAGTCTAGAAAATTTAGTAACCCCATTTTTAGTTATATAAACTCAAAATATAGCTTAAAGCTTCTTAAAATTTCATCACAATCTATTTTAGAAACAATTTTTTTAACTATACCAACTACTATAACAATACCACCTCTTGCCTTCATAAATAATACAGTATAGTACTGCAAATCCAAAAATGATCTTCAAAATATTCTAGATAACATATCAGAACTCTACCAATTAAATAATATACAAGTTAACTTATTCAAATTAGACCTTATTTATATTATATCTAACAGAAAAGTATCTTTTAACATCACCCAAGATATAAATTCTCTAAACTTTAATAACTAACCAATTACACCTCACAAATCTAATAAATTAATCAAATACTTAGATATTTTCTTAAATGGAAAGAATCAACTAAACCTATACTTGAAAAAATTATTAGCAAAGTTTCTCAATTCACCTATATAATTCAATACAAAAAACTTTTTCCTATACAAATATCTTGATTGTTTAATACTATTATCTTATTATCAATTGAATACTTACTTCTAATTTGTTTTTTTTTACAAAACTAACTTTAGTAATTATTAAGCCTTTTAACAAAATGTACCAAACACATGCTTCATCTATCTACAAACACAAACAATAATATACTTACTAACTCACAATTACTTAATATTCTAATATTAAATAAACTTATACTACAAGTTAGTAGCAGCAATATAAAAAAATGCTTCAATACTAACAAACTTTTAAACCAAATTTCTATATACTGAATCAAGAAATAGCTTTCCAAAATATAGAAACTACTTTTAACACAAGATACAATTCTAAAAAATTATAGAAAAACTTTTAAGTTTACTATAATATTCCAATTTTATTATCTATATAAAAATAATATATTTCTTAACAACATTTATCTAACTTAGCTAACAACTTACAAACAAACTAACTAACTAAACAATATCTACAACTTTATTTTATTTCCAAATAATTCAACAACCTTAAGTCTTAAAAACAATAAAATTCTTTTTCTTGAACAATTTTTTATAACTGATAATTAAAACCTATTTTTTTGAAAAAACATATATCTCAGAACTTTCAAATCTTCTTGAGGTCCTATTCTAAGCTGATTTAAAATACTCTTAAACCAAATATCCATTACTTTTATACCACACATATGGCCCAAAATTTAACTTTTACCAATAAATCTATTTTTAAATATACTTAATCTCATCACATCTCAATTCAATAACTTTAAAAATATATAAACAATTCACATTTTATCTTCAAACTAACATATAAGCAAAATAACAAATAAATTCAACTTTTTATTACTTTTTAAAAATACTATATTATTAATTCAACATCTAACACAATTTCAATTTCTTTTACATTCACAATACTTCAAACAAATTATAAATATACTATTAACTTAAAATATAAAACACAAAAAAACAACAACACTTTAAGCTCAATATCAACAATCAAGAAATTCAAGCATTCCAAAATATTCACTCAAAGTTATACAAACCAGTTTCACAATTTTTACTCTTTCTTACACTACCTTTCTCAGAAATCTTTTTAATATAAAACATAATACCTGATTCTATCTATTAAAACCAACTTATTAATCTTTACAAAAAAATTCTATTTCTAGAACAAACTAATCTAAACTTCTATACAGATGTCTTCATACTTAATTCACAAACAGATAACATTTTTACAAGCATTGCTTGGCTTCTTAAAAAAGATACACAGATCAAATTTAACATCTTTATAATCTATACACTAAACTCAATATAAGCTAAACTAGCAGCATTCATCCTTTTATTCCTTATTCTACCTACCAATTATTCAATTCATATTTATTTTAATAGCTTATTCATTATTTAAACACTTACAAACTCATTATCTTAATATTACAATTTACAAACCAAACAATATAATTAGGATATTATACATATACTAAGCTATTTAATCAAACTTAAAAACATTAATTACACTATACACAAAGTCTTATTACACTCAAAAAATACCTTATACAATATAACTGATTTGTTAGCTAAACAAGATGCCAACAAAACTAAACTAAAATTCAATTTGACCACTTTTATTTACCTATTTTCTACTTTTGAAAAGAAATTCTAATTACATACAAACTATGTAAATTTTGCAAAAACCTAATCTCAATTCAAACATTTAACAAACTTCTTCAACTTAAACTATTATGAACCTATTAACTATAACCATTCCATTATTAACTGAAATTATTAATTCTCAAAACTCCAATTTTAAACTATATTCTATTAGAAACAAAATACTTCTCAACAATCTACCAATAATAGCAAATCTAAATACCTATTATTCTCTTCTCTATTTAACCTCAAATTGCTTATATTGTAATTAATATAAAAATATCAAACACTTATTTTAGTGCTCATTTTACTTATACAATTCACAAAATACTCTTACTAATGAAATCTCAAATGTTCTAAATTTTTTAAACATCACAGAAATCTTATCCAATACAATAATACAAATTCTTACTTTACAAAACACTTCTTCTAACCTTAATATATATAATACAATGCTTTTATTTATTCAGAATACAATAATCCTTAACTAATACAATTAACTTCAAACTATTACTGGATAACAGTCTTATAAGACTGTTATTTAGTTGCATTATAATGTTATTTAGTTAGTTATTCAAGTAACGAATGATTTGTGCTTGTATTGTCAGAGATATATTAGTATTTACTCCATTATTTAAGTGCCAAATAATTCATGCTTGCATCATCATTTAAGCAATGAATAGTTCATGCTTGCATCATTAGAGATATATTAGTATTTGTTTCATTATTTGAGTGATGAATAATTTATGCTTGCATCATCATTCAAGTAACAACAAATTTGTCATTATGTGTTGTGACAACAGAAATATGATACTGTCATCAATTAATACTATCTAATTGCTATTAGGTATGCTATATATATGCTACTTGGTTATGCTATCTGTCATTAAAAAATCTTTGCTGACAGTTTTGGTGACAACTTTGGTAATGGGTTTATTATTAAATTTGGGTTTTAAATTCTTTTTTATCTTGTTCTTACATATTGTCACCAAAGTTACTGAAAATAAAGTAAAATTCTAGAAAAAAAATAAAACTTTTTCTTATGATATACCTTTGATATATATCTGATATATACCCAATATATACTATGTATATATATTATATATACCTACCTACCTTTGATATATACCCAATATATATTATATATATGTAATATACCCATATATAAAAAAAAGAAAAAAAGCTAAAGAAATTCAATCTTTTTTAGAGTTTTTAGTAACAAACATTTAGAAAGCTTTTAAAGTTTAAAAATGCAAAATTTGATAAAGATCTTAACTCTGAAAATTTTCTGTCACTAAAAATTTTTAGTGATACTTGGCCATATTAAGATATTGCATATATACTTACTATGTATTTTTTATAACACTATTTTGTGTCATCTTTTTTAGCTTTTTTTGCTGATATCAATTCTGCCTTTACTATTTATCTGTATAAGGATCACAATAATCATAATTGAAATAAGTCAACTTACTATATTCTTTACAAGGTATATGTGATGGAGAATTCTAGTGAACTTTACATTTTTCAGGCTGATAGCAACCTCAATTGCAAACTTTTTCAGTTCTAAGAATATAGGAGCAATAATAAAATGCTATATTTATATAATTTTGATATAATGGTTATTATCTACTGATAACTATTCTTTAGAATTAATTTTTATTTTAAACCTTTTTTTTAAAACAATATACTAGCAGTAAAAGATACTTACTATGAGTACCCAATATTTTCAGAGTGAAGCTCATTGTTTTACAATAGAAAATATTGATTATGCATCAGTAAAGATAATAGCAATACCTTCTAGACTGGAGAGTCCAGAAAACTCAGAGAATTTTGAGCTAAAGATAGATATAGAGGAAGGCTTTTTAAGCTATAATTCGAAGAATCACCTAATGGTCTGCTTTGCAATAGAAAATAGTGAAGCCTTCTACTACCAGAAATTTAAAACTAAAAATATAGCTGAATATATATATAAAATTCAAGATGATAGTGTAAAGTCAAGACAATTTATTGATACAGATACCAAAGATGAAATAGAAGCCATACTTAGTGAACAGCAAGAACATTCATTATACAAATTCATTGATGGCAATAACCCACTTTATTCTATTATTGATTTTAAATTATCTAGAAGAAAATTTGATAAAATCAAACTCAAGTTTACATGTAAAGAGATAAAAAATACACTTTATAATGTTTTTACAAAAACTTGTTTGGATATATTTCTAAAATAAGACAAAACTACTATTACTATTGCCAGTAGTAGTAATTCAAAAAAAATGTCTTATCATATCTTAACATTTGGAATGCATCTTAAGAATATTGCCAAAGTTACAGTATTTACTAAACTTATTTGTAAGAAACTTTCAGTAGGTTTACAAAACAAAAAATTGTTGACAATATCACAAATAAAGATCATTTTCATTACAAATACTTGGAATGCCAAAATTTATTGAAGAGACAAGAGAACATGTATGTGTAAAGAAAGCATTAGGTTCCAAAAATAAAAATGTTTTTGATTTTATGCTTTATCCTTCTAATAATAAAGTGCCAGTTATAGATAGCCTGATCTTAAAAATCCTAAAAAAAATAGTAAAAAATAGTAAAGCAAATAATGGGAGTATTGGAGTTGAAGTTGATTATATAGAAAACCTACTTAATGTAATAAATATTGAAGGTTTTGATGTTTTATATTCAACTTCCATATCTTCAGATATATTCACTTTAAGATATATAACAGGATCATATTACTCTTTATATAATTGAGAACATAGCAATAATAATGCATATGTAGTCTGAAACAGAAAAACCTATTGTTACTATTGTTATCATGCAGATTAAAGTATATCTAAAGGTACAAAAAAACTTTTACTAAAACTTATCATTAATGAGACTGTTGAAAATCAGGAAAAAACTTCACCACCTTCTTAAAAAATAGAACATCTTAGAATTTCTGATTTAAATAACTACTTCGTATAAGGTGACTTAATTGATATGTGCATATCAGAAGAAATATATACTCAAAATCAAGTTTATAAAGCAATACAAGTAACAGTTGCATGTATTCAAACAACTTCAAGATTATGGATACTTAAAATGAAAGATTCAGATAATGGTTTTTATTATGATATAGCATCTAAGCTGAATTTTACCAAATATGAAATCAAAATGATAAAATATAGAAGTAAAACAATGAAGTTAAAAATATTAATAGACTGAGCAGTTATTAAAAGTCTAATTCTTTATTATAATATTGATTTTCTACTATACTTTCCAAATACTTCTTCAAAAAATACCAAGTTTTTTAACCTTTTTTTAGAATTCAAAGCCCAACTAACAATTAAGATTAGTCTAGCTATTATTGATCCAATTCTATGGCATGCAAAAAATATAATCTCTAAAAGGAATAAAGAGCTTAGTAAATATTTCTGGTACTGGTATGCATATCTAGTACAATAACTATCTAATAAACCTGGAACAATTCAAGTATTGTATTCCTTATCAGGTTGCAAAAAAAATATCTTAATTAATTTTATAGATAAGAAAGTCCTTAGATCAGAGCTTTTTTTATACAACATCTGATTTTGGAAAAATATTAGAGCATTTTAATAGTTGCATTTAGGCTTGTAAACTAATTATTATAAATAAAACAGGAATGTCTAGTAAAGATTGAAATAAGTATAATGATCATCTTAAATCACTTATTACAAAAGATTATTTAACAGTTGAATGCAAAGTTATCAAATCAAAAGTATAAAAAATTATACTTAATTTATAGTATTAAGTAATTATGATGCTTCACTTTGAATAAAAATAGGTGATCATTGTATCATATATTTCAATATATCTTTCTGTTATAAAAATAATATGACATATTTTAAGAATTTGGCCAAAGTACTTAATCACTCTGATATATCAAATATAGTTATGATTTATTTACTCAGTCTTAATATCTCAGATTGGAATTCACAAGATATTCCTGCTACTAAAATGAAAATAGATATAATGTTGAACCATTTACCAAACCTGAAACAGTTATAATCAATCATATTTCATCTTGCCTAAAAATAGAACTAAGAATTCAATATGTTTAAATTTATATCAAGAATATTGTATTTGATGTGAAAGAAATAGTGAAAATGCATTTACTAATAAAAAATTTACCCTTGATCGATCCAAAATTGTGAATAAACTACACAAATCAGATATTGATATAGAATAATTTTCCGACTTACTTCAAACTAAAATACTTGTCAATACATCCACAGATATTCTTGTATTCGATATATCTGAAGTTGTTACATCTGAATTAGAAAAAAAAATAACTAAGACATTGACCATTAATCATATCAAAAAAGGTAAGAAAATAGTATCTGTTCTATCTATTACTAAAATAACCCAAGACTTCTTCGATTCTATAACAGATCAATTAGAATCTTTAGTTGTTTTATTATCCAAGTCTATTGATATATTTCTGGCTCTTAAGATTATGAATGTAAAAGTTGTAAACAATAAATCCAAATCTCTGAAAATTATTGAATTAGTAAGTAATAAAGCTGAATCTGTAAATAATGAGCCTGAGATATTTCCTAACTTACCTGCAAATAACAAACTAAAATCTAGCAATGAAGAAGTTAATACTTAATTGAAAACATATATATCTGGTTATTTAACCTAGAAGCAATAAGAAGCCTGTCTCTGTCAAAAAGTTATTGAGCTTAGTGAGGACTCTGATAAATTTGTTATCATAACTAAAAAAGATAAGCTTAATTTCATAGTATTCTGTGATAGAATGCAGACTGATGTGAGAATATATAATTATGTAAAAAAGGCTGAAGATTCTAGTAAATATATGGACATATTAGTGAGAGAAAGATTAATAGAAGAAGAGATTATTTGGCATAAACTCAAAGAAAAAGGAATCATATCCTTATGGCTCAATACTGATAAGGAATAGCAAAAAAATATAAATGTATTTCAGAAGAATAGTATGCTTTGGTAAAAAGTGAATAAGAAGTCAGTTTACAAGTAAGGTATTTGGATAAGAGAATTCTTTACAATTAGGCAAAATAAAATTCCAAACTATTAATTATTTTTTTTGAATTAAAAAATAACTAGATTAATATATAATTAGATAATATTTACTATTGATATAGTTATGAAAACAGCTACTCCAAAGATCCAAAAACCTAAAGTTAATAACTTTGTATTAGTCTTAGAGCAGTTTTTAGAAAAGTATAATCTAATAGCTGACTCTACTTTAAAACAATTAAGCAAACATGCTTTCAAACTTAATGCTCTACTTCCTGATTGGATGATCTGTAGGTGTGTTAAAGTCATTCTTGTCAAAGGTACAGATAACAAATACTCATTTAGTAAAGATTAAATAGAAGCTCTCTTATTAGATAAAAAAAAGAAAAAACTCATCATAGAGGAAAGAGCAAAATATTGTGCTAAAATTAGCAATGCTATAGACATTTTTGCCTATTATTTAAATTTAGGTTTAAAAAAATGGTTATAAAAATAAAATAGTTACCAATGGTTCATGTCAGTCACAATTTCATATAAAATTAGCAGAAGGCAAAGTAAGTTCTAAAATTATTAATACCTACGCCAAAAATCCAAAACTTATTTAAGAGTCTAATAAAATTCAAAAAAAACAAACTAAAAAATAAATAGCTAATCTGAATAGAATTCCAATATACTTCTCATTAACAAAAAGGCTTAAAAGAATTCAAAATATAGATGTTTCTAAAATTTCAACTAAAGAAGATTTCATAAATATAATTGTGATGTTGAGTATGAGACCTGCAGAAGTAAGATCTTTTCAAATTATTTATTATGAACCAAATCCTTTAAATGCTCCAGTATGGTATAAAGAAGATTATTCTTGGTATTGTACAGGCTATTTAAAAAATAGAGAAGAGAAGAAAAAAAAATCTGAATCCTGTATATTTCTTTCCATAGAGAAGAATTTGGAATGTGTCAGAGAATTACTTATCTGGATTCAAAATGCAATTAAGCCAAAAAAGTTACATGATTTTGTCTTTACTAAAAACTGAACACGTAATGTTTAGCTATTTAATGAGTTCTTAAAACAAAAATCTTATAGAACTATACTTAAAAATTAAGAGATTATAGAAATAAACATGCTTTCAGAATACATGAAGATAAAAAACCAATATCCCAACATCTTAAACTGGTTTCAAAAATTATAATAAGACAAGAATCAGACTATCTTAATATAGGTGATAATTACACTATAGGCAATATAGAATCAAAAGAGTCTAACTCCAAACCAGAGACAAATAACAATTTAAAATCTCAAATACAGGCTTCTTTGTCATCTCAAACAATAGAAATAGTTTTAATATTAGTTGAAATTGATCTAATATTAGCTGAAATTCAGAAATAAATATTAGAAGAAGGATTAGATAGTAAGTACTTGTTTAGAGAATTTTTACTGGAACCTTATAAACATGAGACTTAAATTGTCTACCATTTTCCTAATGCTATTCTTGAGATCACAATTAAGAAAAATATTTTTATATTAATATTTTTTTCTTATAATTGATAATATTGAAATAAACTAAAAATCTATGAAGTGTATATCCTCTTTTCTTCACTAATCATTTACAATTGCCAGTAGATCGATCAGTCCTTGGTTTATACTAAATAATTCATAAATAAATTAATTACTAAATTCGAAATTAGTTTTTAAAAAATCTGCAAATTAGGTTTGTTAATAATAAAGAAAATAAGATAGATAAATTATAAATTGCAAAGACTTATCTGATCAAAATTCAGGTAATTGTATTGATTTGGGTATTATATCCATTTATTTTTTAACTATCAAACCATTCTGAGCAGTAAAAAATAATATATAATTGGGTAAATATAAAATGATAAGAAAAATTTTCATCATTAATCAACTTATTATAACCTATACTATGAGTCTTAAACCACTTAGTGAAAGAGAATTTGTTAAAAAATATCCCAAATAATTAGAATTATTAAAAGATTTAGGAATAAATATCTTAAAAAGATATCCAAATTCTCTTGCAAATGATATTACAATACCAAAACTAGAGGGTTAGTTTATAATGAAATTGTAACAAATATTCCAGGATTTACAAGAGAAAGCCTATGTAAAAAAAACAACAAAAACTAGAAATATTTATAAGTTGTTTGGTGAAAGTTATGATCCTGAAACCAAAACAGTAATTAAGGGACTAGGGATTGAAAAAATAGAATGAATTCAATCAGCATAGCAGGCTTTAATTATGATTGGCCGATTTTGTAGATTATCTCATCATAAGAAAGTCTTATTAAAGTAATGATTTGCTGTCACAAAATGAATTTGCAGTCACGAATACGAATTCGCAGGTGTTATGATATAAAAATTTAAGAAATAAACTTATGGCTCTACAGCATATCAAAGTAATTTGGTAATTGACGAGGTAATTCGGAAGTTAGATGAGAGGTATGTTTGAACATTTCAATTTAGCAAATAAGTCATAAATATAACATATGAATCTATTATTGAGTTTAGTAATTTGTTTTCTGAGTTATTTTTGCTAATTTTAGCTTATTATGAGTTATTTATGATTCCAAAACAGATACTACCAGTGGAATAGTTTAGTGGAATAGTTTAGTGAAATAGTTTAGTAACGCAGCCTAGTAACATGCTGTGTTCTGTGTTGAAATATAAGTTTGTGAATCTCGAGATTAGAACGTAATACCACGTTTAAGATTATTAAATAAGGTTATTGAGGTTAAGATAGTTTGACATCACTAAAACTAGTATTTCGATTAAAATTGATTTATACGTTTTTTATTAGATTTTAGTATATTTTCTGCATTTTCTGGTTTTTTTTCATCTTTTTTTTTTTAATTCGTGTATTTATTTAATAAGATCCTGGTTTGTGGGACCTTGTTTGTGCTAGGCTTAAGGTCTTAGACTCTTAAATGTGAGATCTTTGTAGTAGTGTTTTTATTAAAACCAATTTAGTCTTATATAAAATTATTTTGTCACAATTTAGCTGCAATATCACGGGATGATCTTCAAAAATCAGCCAATCACAATGAAAGCCCGCTATGCTAATTCAATCATATAGTGCGGATTATATTTCAAAACTTAATGCTAAAGCATTTTAGCTAGCGCAGATCGCGTCCCCCAAGTTGACGCCAACGTGACATAAATATTTTTTATTAGTAAATCATATATAAGTATAATTATATAATTAAATTTATACGTATTAAAGTTTATACATACCAATAAATGCTTGTTAAATATAGGCATTCAATCAGATATCGACCTAAGGTTTATGCGTAAGACAGGGCACAAACACATTGCAGGTTTGAATGATAAAAAATTTTTTAGCCACGTATAATTATTTTTCTATTAATACAACAATGATAAAAAATCATAACAATACATATACAAATAACAAAAGCCGAAATTATATCGAAAAGTGGCACATCTTTAGAGGCTGGAAGCACGGGTGTAAGGTTTGTGACGAATGCAATCATCATTCACACCTATATTGTAAGACATGCGGATGGAATATAAAAGTGATGTGATAATTTTCTAAGGTAGCTCCTTTAATTATTTGCATATAGATAGTTTATAAAAGCTACGCTATACACATACAAAAATTCAGGTATCACATAAATGTCACACTAAATTTGCACTCAAGTTCTGCATGCAGAGGATTAGAGTTTGATACAACGTGATAAATCCTAAAACGGAGAAGAACCATGAACGACTTTACCAAAAGAATACGAGAAAACGAGGATGACAAATTCTGATATTGTTTATCTCTTTAACATCGAAATTTCATGATAGTGGAAAATTTTCAGTAAGTTCTTCCTTGCTTCGTTGCAAACACGTCTGTAATACAGCACGATTCAGCTAGTATCTCCCAAATAAAATTCAAATAACCTATTCGCATTTCTTTTACTCTATGTGGCACAAATACTTCGAACGTGCATACTTCCAATGGAATATTTTGGAATTTCTGAAAGAATGTGAAGTGGAACCTTTCAACCGGAAGATATCATGTTATATTGCGTGTCTTGAAACCATAGCTAATAATGAAGAAGGATGCAGGCGCGAAAGAGCACAATATTTGCTCGATCAATATAGAAAGGCGAGTATAAAAGCATTTTTTTGTTGAAAATGCAGGCGGGAAATGGATGGCAAGGGATTCTCTGAGGTTTCTTGTCATTTGGCGGTATTGAGGCACAGGAGACTCTCCGAGGTCGACTGATGTTCAAGGCTAAAAGCTAACTCAGTACCGGCCCTGTTGGAGCCCAAATGGTTCTCGAGGCTGTTTGACATTCAAGGCTATAAGCTGATCCGACAGTTGGGATTAGAATGATAGAGTTATAGGAAATCGGTTCAAAAATAATTTTTTTTTTGTGCTAGGGTCCTAAACCCGATTACAAAAGAGCAAGAAATTGGGAAAGGAACGTGTCTATGGATCGATCTACCTCCACCAGCCGACATTCGTGGATGGAAATCTCAGTGGGACTGTGAATAATGGAACAATAGGAACTGTAAATGGGATCGTTTCAGGATCTTCAAAAAGAGAGGTTCAAGTTCCCGATAATCAGGTACACAATTTTTTTTTTACTATAACTATCATTTTGTATTCGTTCCTAATAAAACTATAATCTTAATCTTTAGGATAATGATAAAGTCCCAAAGCGGACGAGAATTGATGATTATTTCCCTGTTTGTTGGCAAGACAACAACCAAGAACTCCCAAACACCAAATATATCCGTCAGGTTTTGGGTTCCCTTGTGTTCAAAAGGTAATTACGATCAGGTCGAAAATGTCTTTTATAACTTTCTTTGACAAACACATAACATATAAACAAACTATGACAGAACGATATCGAGAATTCGTATGATATGCGATTTTATGAAGATATTAACATTAACGAAGACATCTACGTAGATGAAATACATTTGTCTCAGGAGGTAACAATGCTTATTTATTACTTTAGACAAAGTGGAAAATAAGACATAGGCGTACAAAGGAAACCAAGAAATAATCACAGATATCAGGAATAATCTGTTTTAGTAACCAGACACATCAAGAAGGATGAAGTATGGTATTCAATTAGAGTTGTATTCAATTGATTCTTCAACTTTGCTATTTAGACCACCAACGCACCTGCAAACATAATGAATGTCTCAAATATTTTGAACGATCCAGAAAGTAGTGAAATAGCATCTACAATTCTTACAACTCCTTACAGCTATAATATTTCAAATATCTTAAACGATTCAAGTAATGAATTAGTTGAGAAATCAATAACTTTCATGTCTCCTTCTCCTTATTATAAACAACCACGATTTATAACTAATAATGAATACATGGATATGGTTTGGTCTCCATGGCATTTTGATAAAATTATTGGTGAAATAGATATCGAAAAAAAAATAATAGGCTTATGTGAGAAAGAAAAGAAAGCAAAAATAAAATCGTCATTAAATTATGGTATTATCGACCTGAATGATAGTAGGATTATGAATATCTTAGGATCATCTGTAAAGGTTTATTTTGAAGCGAAAATGAAGAAATATAAACTACAAAGATCTGTGACAAAAGAAGTTTTGGAAACTTTGAAGTATTTTAACATAGTAAGTAATTAATTGAAAACCAAAAAATAACTTAATATTATTACTTATAATTAACACATTTAGACATTATTATCGAAGCTTGGAAAAGCTCTTTCAAATATTACCATTAACTATGAAAATTTCAATAGAGATACTGTATATTTACATCATTTGTTTGAGAAATTGTAAGTATCGAATACAATATGTTTTTATATTTTTGTAAACATATTTATTTATCTTGTTTTCAGTTTTTTTCTTTTTCAAGACAAGGGTGTATTGAATTTAGATAGTTCTGAATACAAGAAGGATAGTACAACAGCAACATTGTTGTGCTATTTTTTGATAATTGCTTAGCTTCACTTAATGATTGTATTCATTGACAGTATGTTCTAAATAAAACTGTTGTGTTTTATGTTGTATTTAGTTAATTTGTTCTTGTATAATAGTGGTTAAGTTGAAAACAAAGCACAAAAGTTACTTGGAATTAAATTATCAAAAAAGCCAAAATATAATAGAATCTTGTCATTTAATAGAAAAATTGAGTTTATTTATGTGGAAACAGCAATCACATTAATATTGTCAAAAAAAGACAAAGACTTGTCAAAATTGTATGAAGCAATAGTTATAATTTCAAGCTTATAGTATCCTCATTACCAGAAAAAATTGTACACGAAATATCATATTTGCCCATCCTTTGCATTCAATTCTGTGATAAGTAAAGCTATGTTTAATTGTTAATGCAAAATCTTTAAAAACTTAATTTTATAACTTTACAGATATGACAGCTGATGTATATCTTGCTAATTGGTTGGTTAATATGTGTTTAGTTGTTTTTCCAATTTTTGAATTCGATATTCTGAAACAAGTTACATCTTTATTGAGTTTAATGAAGTTGGCTATAAGAATGTTGACATTGTAGGTAATTATAATATCTATGCTCAAGCATTTTTATTTATTATTATTATAGTTGACCTTTATTCTTTTGTAGTCATTAATTCAAGACCTTCATAATGATATCAATTATTATTAAAAAAAATCACAGATTATTATTTAGATAATGATAATATTTGGATTTTCTTACTGAGACTGAAAACTAGATAATTATGTTAAAACATTTTTTCTTTTACTGATGTATTTGGTTTTATAAATTGAAAAAATAAAATTTCTTACTAATTGTGAGACAAATATACCTTATTCATATAATTTTGATTGTTTTTTGTTTTATTCTAATTTTGAAATAAATAATATAAATAGAATTAGGAATAGCAAAAGCATTTAAAGTTTTGAGCTTATTCAATAAGACCTAATTCTCGAAGATGTTTCAGAATAACTACATATAGGTCTTTATAATACCAAACATATCTAAGAACAATCCAATGTTTTTTGCATAATTCTTTCTTGAGTTGATCTTATTCTTGCTATTTAATAAAATTATTTAGATTACTCCTATGAAAGAATTTGATATATTTTTTGTGCTGTTTTTCTTGAACTCCAATCACAAAGCTGTATTCTGGGTAATATATATTAAGTTATAATCCTTTTGTATATTTAAAAGTTTTTAAAAATTCTGAATATTTTATCATAATTTGATTCAAGATACTTAGTTATAATTTTATAATATAAATTTTCACATATAAATTTATTACTGCAATAGGGCCACCAATTATTTTGGTTTTTAATATAATTAAATCAAATATACTATATATGAAATTTTTTGTATTGTCATAAAAGTAGGTCTTTGCTATTTTTATACTTTATAGAAAGACACTTATTATTGCTATTAAAAGTCAATTGTTTTTGCATAATAAAGCATAAGTTTTTCATTTCTTGTAATCCAAATATATCCTTGTTTATATTTTTTTTTCAAGCATTCAAGATTTATTTTTTGAGCAAACACCAAGTTTTTTGATTTTTAATTCTCTTAAAAGAAGCTATCCATAAATGATCTTTATTATATTTCCAAAGCATAGAAATGGAATTGTTAAAATAAATTGTATCAAGACATTTACTTCCATGTTCTATTACAAGTTTTTTAATATTATTTAACAATAGTTTTGATATCATTTGCACTTTTTACAAAAGATAAGAAAACTAGATATGACTCTATTATCTTTACTAATTAATTACAAGAATCATGTTAAAATAAAAAATAGTGAGATCACAGGATCCACTTTATTTCATAAAAAAAAATTACCAAAATGGCATACAAATAAAAAAATATTTATTAACTTTATTTTAGAAAGTTTAGTGCATCCTTACAACTTAAACAAATATAGTTATTATTATCTATAATATTTTCTAGAAATATAATAAAGATGATTTCTTTTAATAAAATTGTCATCATCTTCAGGATCGTAGTCTGGATTATCTAAATTAATGTACAGAATATATATTATATATGCTTTATTTTTTTGACTTTAAATATATATGAAAAGATAGAATTTTACTTACCACATCTATTTCTCTTATTATTATGTTAACAATTGGAATGTGTTCTTTGGTTAGTTTTAGGGATGTTATAATTATTAGTCTTGAAGGTATTAGAATCATTAGTCATGATAATGGTGATGGTATTATTAGTTGTAAGAGTAGTGGTGTCATTACTACTCATTTTTTATTCCTAAATACAAAAAATCATAGTAAAAAAAAATTCATTTTTATAGTCACTGTTAAATAAAATAACAAATTACTTTAAAAATAAATTATGAGCAAGTAAATTAATTAAAAATATATATGAGCAAAAAATAATGTTTTTGCTAACTTATCTTACAGGTAGAAACATGCTTATTTTTATATTTCATATTCATTAGATCTAGAGAACCTGCCAAAAGAAAAATTACAAGCTTAGCAATTAAGTTATTCTAATAAAATGCTAGACTACACTTAACAAGCAACTTCGCTCAGTTATAAGTTTTAAACACTAATCTATTTTGTTATTTTTCTGATAAAATTAACCTTCTTAGATTTGATAATCTCTTCTGCAAAGTACAATCTCAATAATTTGGGAATTCCAAGTTCCTGTAATATATGAATTTTGATAAAACTACTAATTAAGAACATTATACTTTTTTCTTTTATAGCTCTTTTAAGTCCTATTTGTGATTTGTTTTTATTGCAGGATCATATATAATAAGAAAAGAGTCTAGTTATTTGTAATATTTGTTATAAATTAAAAATTAATTATGAAAAATGATTTTGCAGAAGAGTGACACTAGATAAAATTTAATGCAGGCCATTGATTATTAAAGCCAGTCAAGTTTTTATCACATATTCGAACTGATAAACCTGAACATCAAGTAATTGCTATTGCTATTATTATTATAAAAATATTAAAATCAGTTTATACTCCAATAGCCTCTGGAAGCCTTCAAGATATAGAATTTAAGAATTTATAAATTATGTGTGTGGATTCATAAAACTATTAAGTTGCATTATATAATACAATATAATAAATACTTTATTTTTCTTGAGAGTTTTTTGAAATAGTTTAACAACCACTACATATTGATAAATATATGTATTGTAAATTCTAGATAACTGCAGTTAAGCAACTGTTGAAGTACTGTTCAAAATAACAGATCAGTAAAATATCAAATTATCTTTATTAATTATATAAATCAAATTAAAAATAAATATCAATATGTGAAGTCAAATTATTGTATGTGATTGTATTAAAATAGTATACATATATGTTTACAAATATTTTTTTTAAAGTTACCTATTCATCTATAATCTAAAAAATCAATATGCAATATAAACTAGTTGTTGACCAAACATCTAAAATTTATCAGCTATATAAAATATACAAATATTTATAAAAACAGCCCTTTGAAAACATTTATACTATTGTCTAAAAAGGAATATAACAAGCCATGTAACAATAATCAACTTGGACATTTCTTGAGTGCTATGTGCATAAGGTTCAAATAAATACATATATAAAAAATTGTTTTTCCTGAAGTTTTTAAATTATTCTTTTTTCTGTTTAGTCTGCAAAAAATATATAATCTATATATACTGTTATTGAGGGTACAATCATTATTCTTTTATATGAAGCATATGCAAGAAGAGGAAGATTCAACAGACTTCTCAGGTTTTAAACCACTAGGCTACACTATGTGAATAATATAAATGTATCTATTTCACTCTTTTGTTCTTATACAACTACTGCTTTAAGAACATGATCATCAAATTACTATTGTTTTTTAGTAAGGAAAAGAAGATTACAGGCTTCTTATAGTTTAGTCCACTGAGCTACAAAATGAGAAATAGTTCAAATGTATTTACCTCGCTTTTTATTTATTATACTTCTTTTTGAAATAGTCATGTAAAAAATTTTGTCTTTATTAAGTGATAGGACCTCTGACTTAATATATTTAATTGATATTTATTCATTACAATACCTCTTACAAAAATTGAATCTGAAATTAAGAAAGTATTAAGTTAATAAAATCTAATAGGTCTAAATCTTTAAATTTGATTTTTTTTTTTTTTTTTCAGTATTAAGGTGACCTCTTTGGTCCGAGCTTTTTATTAATACTTATAGCAGATACATGTTTTAT